GGATTGGTTATTTCATTAATGAACTACACAAAATGGGACTCCAGGATTGGTTATTTCATTAATGAACTACACAGAGTGGGACTCCAGGATGAGTTATTTCATTAATGAACTACACAGAGTGGGACTCCAGGATGAGTTATTTCATTAATGAACTACACAGAGTGGGATTTAGGAAGCTGGCATTTCCTTCTTGTCACAGTTGGGAGCCAGCTTTGTCACAGGCACAGGGATAGAAAAAGAAGAGAATCCTGCAAGGATCTGGCCTGGCCGAACTATGGAATGCAGCAGGACAGGGTCTCCCTGGAAATGAAAACACTCAAATACTTAAAGAGAAATAAAAAGCATTGTCCAAAGCTACCAATCCTCAAACCATTCCAGAACCAGAAACAGGACAAAAACCTACACCTGGGTTCATCTGGGACACGTAACACCAGAACACATCCCATTTCATCTCTTCAGCGGCACAGAGATTTTATTCCTGCTCTTACTGACCCTTCCTGTGTGGTGAAACCCTTGGAGCAGCCATTTTTCTTCACTATATTTTCCACTGTAAAATTCCACTGGAGATTCCTCTCAGCCCAGCAGTTTCAGACTGTTCTAAAGGCCCTTCTACCCATCATTTAACACACCATTACAAGGCTATAAAGACTGGGGAGTTTACAACTCTCCAAAAATCTACTTCAAAGCTGTGCTGCTCAGGGTAGGCCTTGCAGGAGGAGAACATTTATCCAAGGAGCAGTGGAATACATGGAAAACTTCCATTAAACCTGGCGTCACCTGCCTCAGAACAAACAGGCAGAGACATCTCTGAGTGCTCCTCTGAGGCCAAGCCTCTCCAAAGGACACAGGAAGAAAAGCTAAAGGTGCAATAAAGGTAAGAACAAAGAGAAATTCCCATGCAGGAGCAGGAACTGCCTTGTCTGAAATGGAAAAAGCAGCATGGAATTCAGTGGACCAAGGTCTGGATAAACTCTCTCATGTTGTCTACAGTCACCAACCCTGAGCTCAGGCAGATCAGGTGAAAGAAAAGGCAGGGAATAAATGGAAATCCCTCTTACCATGGAAACTTGGTTTCTCTAATCCAGCAAAAGGAAGGCTGGAAGAAGTCAGGACTGGGGTCCATAGAATTACACCAAAGACAAGCAGGCAATGGGTCAGCCAGCAGGGAAGAGACTGCACAAAATAGACTACAATAAAAACAATGACCTAACAAATGACAGATTAAAAGTAAGTTTTCTGATGATTCCAGAAGCAGAAATATGGAGAAGTTTTGAGGTTCTCCCTGGAGGAGGGATCTGTGTGTGCACACACTGCTAACAGGATGAAACAAGCTGTATTTAATGAAAAGTTTGACTGACTTATTAACCAGAGTATAATGTTGAGTTACCAGTCCTGACAGGAGATTTGACTTCAGCACTTCCTTCTACATCATCTGTTATCCTCCCTGCAAGCTGAGCTTTGCTGCTCCCGAGCCGAGCACAGCCCTTTTACAGCTGAACTCTCTCTCCCAGCCTGTCCCAGTGTGCCCAGTGCCCAGCTGGGGATTGTTTCCCACCACAGTGGGGTCCTGGAACTGGCTGGGAGCTCCTGCTCTCCTCAGTGACACTCAGAGCTCACTGCAGCACACAGGGAGCAGCTTTAGGGCAGGTAAATGCCCCAGCCCCTGTGATTTCTGTGAGGGTTATTGCAATGCTGGACTTTGGTACATAACCCTGGCCTCAAGCAGCAAAGCCCCCCATGTGTGACAAACAGGGCACCTGCCCAGTGCAGAGGGGAGACCTGGATTTGCTGTAGCACTGCGTTTAAATGTGCAATTCTCACTCCATCAGTCCCTTCCCTGCTGCTTTCTGCCCTCTCTGTGAAGGCCAATGACACGATTGTGTGGCAGGGCAGAGCCAAAATGATCCTGTGCTACTCTTGAGCAGGCAAAGGGAACTGCATTTGTGTGAGAGTCATTGCACACTTTGCTCCTTGGTCCCCAGAGAACTCTGGATCAGACAAAACTTGCAGCTGAGCAGGGATCAGTGATGGGGAACAAGCAGGAGCCACATAAATCAATCCTCAGTCTCTGACAATTTGGGGGTGAATCGTGTCCCTGTCCTTGACACAGGTCCATGGGTGAGGCTGAACATTTACAGGAAGAGATCACAAACCCAGCTCAAGGTCACAAACCCAGCCCAATGTCACAAACCCACCCTGAGGTCACAAACCCACCCTGAGGTCACAAACCCACCTCAATGTCACAAACACAGCTCAGGTCACAAACCCACCCTGAGGTCACAAACCCACCCCAATGTCCCAAACCTACCCCCAAACCAGAGTGTTACAGCCTGGAAAGGTCTCAGAACCCTGGCCCAGAGAAGCTGTGGCTGCCTCATCCCTGGAAGAGTTCCAGGCCAGGGTGGACAGAGCAGGGAACAACCTGGGGTAGTGGAAAGTGCCCCAGCCCATGGCAGGGGGTGACATTTTACAGGCCCTTCTAATCCAAAGCCACTCTATGATTCCATAAAGAACACTGAGGACCCTTCAACCCAGTAGAAAAAAGTCATAAAAACACTGTGATGGGAATACATTAAAAGCCAGACAAATTAAAGGAGAAAATATGGCACATTTTTCTTTTCTCAATAGGAACTTTGATATCCTTAAAAATTAAATAAGAGAAATGGGAGTGCTGTATCTTGTTTTTAATATCAAAACCACTCCACTCTGTCATATTCCAGCCAAGCCACGTGAGCTAACACAGGTGATGTCACCTCTCCTGCACTACACAAGAGGTTCATTAAACTTTTCTGGGTTTAAAACTTATGGGTCACGTTATGAGAAAATCAAATTTGCTAGATAAGAATTCCAAG